CTCTCTATCTTCGTATTCAGTACAAGGTAGTTCCAAACACATCCTCGAGCCTTGCGTGGGAGTGGATATTTGTTCACCCTATATATATATTCCCCTATACTAGCGGAGCAAGGATGAGAAATACTAGAGACGGTGTGGAGGTTCGTTGTATGTGTACTGCGTAGGGTGGATACGAGTGGGTAAGGTGGATAGATAGGGGAGTGGGTGGGAGGGGACATTCAGCGTCATCGTCGTCGTTCTCATAGCGTTCGTAAGTTGTATTGTTGGTGTGGGAAAATGGATTTGGGGAAGATACAGAGAAACTCCAATATCGTCAATTCCGATTGGGCATAAAATGCTGACTGAAAATGTTCTTCCTTGAGTATCCAAGTATACCTTATAATCCCTAACTCCGAGCTATCCGTAATCCTTTGTATTCTTGTTCGGCCTCTGATCCATGTTCCCTCCTTCAACCTAGCCTCTTAACAATGTACCCGAAAGTTCACAGTAAGGAATCACCAGAATATGGCATGAATCGCTCCACGAAGACAAAATGGAAAAGCGGCGTTAAAAAACAACGAAGAAAGAAGCACATTAAAAATCGCTCGAAACCATATCTCATGTTAAAGATGAAATGCAAATCACACCTCACTGGGAAATGGCACAAACACGACTGCCCTAACGGGTCACCAGGGTTTAATGCTCACAGAGCGAAAACACCCTATGCCTAAAATGCCTATCTTGCTCCGTGACCCTCGCCGTCCTCTCCGCCATTAACTCCAACCGGAACCGCTTCGCCTCCTCCATGTTAAACGGGAAATCCGCCTCACTGCCACTGCCCAAAATCATGTCCACCAACTCCTTGGGCAGCTTCTTCAGCGCCCCCGTTGACTCGATATGCTCCATCCACCAGTCCCGGCGCTGCGGTGGTACGTTTGCCGTGGAGATTATGCGGATGTGCGGGTCCACTAGGAACAGGGTTAGGATTTTGCGGTGGCCTGGCTTGGATTTATCGGCCAGCTCAAAGGGTTCGACACGGTGTTGGACGGTGTTAGGAAATGTAAGGAGGCGGTTTTGAGAGCATTCAACGCTGCCGGGAATTTGGGTTGCGGAGGATAGAGTGTGCTTCCCAAAGATTTCGGGGAGGAATGCTGGGTCTTCTCCACGGCTATTTTTTATTTTTGGGTTTGTGGCACACTGCTGGCGGAAGGCTATGTGGCCATTGGTGATGTTTTGGTTATCGTAGTAGTAGAGTGCGGTTGCGCAGATGTGCTCATTCTGCGGTTTACCAACAAAGAGGAGGTGTTCGTGTTAGATATGTGTGAATAACGTGGGTGAATAGCACGCTTTACTTACAAGTTGGCCTTCTACATGCCAAGCGCCGCCATCATATTTGGGTTTTTCGGGGGTTAGATGGATGTTTGCAAGTTTCACGATCACTTGCAAACCAGTCTTGCGGTATTGTTTCTTCAAATCCACGGATCCGGGTGACAGTGACGGTGTCATCGTAGGTTCGAACTTTCTAGGTTCTGGTAGTACATATCCAGACTTAGTTATCGAACGTTTCGGTTTTCTCGATCCATTTGTACCCTCCCGAGACGGGGAAAGTGAACTTTCCCTAATGCATATGTCGTAGTTAATCCGTCGAGTATATTCGGCACTTAGAGAGGATAGGGTTCTGTTCCACAACGGTATTGCGCAAGATATCACCTTCTCGATGGTTCGGTACAGTTCTCGATGTTTGTGGGGGTGAAGGTTGTTGATATAGCTTGTTATCCGACATGGCGGCGCAAGGGATGCTGCTGCAACTTTAGAAGGGTCTTTTGGATCTAGAGACAGGTACGAGCCCGGCTCGTCAATAAACTCCACATTACAAGGTAGCCATTGGAATTTCTGGCTGTATATCTTGTCTTTCCAAAAATTGCCCGCCCAGCCAGAGTGATTATCTAGCTTGTCGTCAAACACTGTGTACTTGTCTCGGGGAACAGGAAGTGTTTCTCCCAAACCACAGCTGGGGATGCAGTCATCCAGGCCTAAGAGCTTCTCGATGAGGATACGCGATCGGCCATAGACAAGAGGGAAGAGAGACGGGTGCACCAAATTCAGGACTTGCTTGTTCGTGGAAGGGTGGTAATCCTTGAGATCTTCTGAAACATCTTCCAGTTTCTGAACCCCTGCTTTCAACTCCTGATTCACTGATCCAGGCAAAGCTGTGTCTGATTTGACCACTCCACCGTTGAATACGTCCACAAGTCCGTATTCGTGAAAAATCCTTGTTTTGTAGCGAAGCTCATCCATAACCCATTTTGTCATAGCTTCAGAAAAACCGTAGTCTCCCGTCAGCATTTCCTTCCGCCACTTATCCACGATGGTATCGTCAGAGACCTATTGTCAAAGTCAGTCAACAGTTTATCCCACTGTTCATGTGCACATATTGTAGAAAGGGGGTTGTTGAATTTTTCTCTCTCCTTTTGTAGGGTTCGGAGGGAGGAGAGAGCGAGGAGAAAGTGATATAATGATGAAATAGCCAGATAGGAAGTAGCGCAACAACTGAGTAATCCAAGGGTAATATAAGTTCTAACCTTCACGTTCCAGTTAGGCTTATCCGTGATTTCGTTCATGATTTGGACCATCATGTTTTCCCGAGTCGTTAGGGCTGGGTATCTGCCAAGTCAATACCTAGTATCCCAAACCTGGAATCACGGGCTTACCTCAAATTATCATCGAGAGCATCTTGATAGTTCAAAGCGTTTCGGAAACGGCCCCTTTGTATTCCCTGGATGTGGAGGATATTGAGTCTAGGAGTTCGCCCGTCCATGCTAGCACGCGGGGTCGTGAGCGGGGTGTTCATCGGGGTAGGTTCCCAGTTTAGCGGGAGCGTAAACCCTGGAAGGCGAAAATTAACATTATCTGGCAGATCTTCCTCCCAATCCGAAAGCTGAGAAGATTCTGTATCGCTCATTTTGAAGGCGAGATATAGATAACGTTCACAAATTAGTAAAATGCTCGGTACAGATCGTAGAGACCGCGGGGAATCAGACGAAGTTTGATCAAGCCTTGATAAGCGTAAAAACAAAGTAACTAGCAGATTTGGGCAAGATAAGGGGTAGCTGCGAAATACCCCCCATGGGGTTTTATGCCAGGACAATAGGCGGCTGGGCTGGCATCAATCGCCGTAACAGTTGTCTTATTTACCGGTCCGGCGCGATGTGGTGATCATGAAAGGGGGTCAGCCAATCATAAATGAAGCTCACTAACCCCGCTGAGAACAATAGGAAGCAAAATCCTATTGTCGAGATGTGTGGCACCAACAAACCGCCAGTGAAACAACAGGCCTAAAATGGTTCAACTATGCAGGCGCCAATCAAATGCTGAGAGCATCTAAAGGGCTTTGCACACAACAGTAATAATTGTTTTTTTTTTTGAATTACCCTCAAAAAGATGCGAGGATAAGCCCGCGGGGCTGGTAATGCGCTAGTCTTATCGGACTTGGCTGTTTTCCTGTTCTTGGCTTGTTGCTGTGGACAAAAAGAGAAACCGACGTAACGCAGAGGATTGATACGGCTTGTCCCAGCTAGCGGCAACAACGTGGAGCGATCCAACGATAGCCCTGCCCACTGGTGTTCATGTTAAGCGCCGAGGTCATGTTCAAAATCTAAGTGGCTTGGTCCTGCGCTCGAGCCTGTCGACATCATTGAAATACACCCATCAATTAGTCACGGAGAAGAGTGAAAGTATAGTCCAGATGACAAAAGCTCCAGAAGGACTTTCTTTCCCAACCTTCCATACGTTGATAGGTAAATTCGTCCTAATGTGGTGCGCTGCATTGGTGTGTCCTTCAAAATGCCCCAGTAAAGAGTTAGGACACTGGCGGCAGAGCTGGAGTGAAGGAGCAAATCTTGACTCGCCAGCCAGGTATATTGAAGGCGGAGGAAACAGTGGGTTTGGTAGACAAGGTCAGATAGGAATATATGTGGCCCGGCTGCGGTAGCACGTTTCCTTTGGTGCAGTGAAAGCCCATATCTGGTGGATTGCGTGATGTCCAACAAACTCAAGCCAACCCTGAACACGCGAGACATGATCAGCAGCACAACTACATGTGAATCGATATCATGAATATCTGCAAATCTCAGTTCCAGTTGGCAAAGAGGATTGGTTTCCCCTGAAAGTTTTAGTTTCCGTCGCCTGGAGGTGAGCCGGTATCAAGACTACAGCAACCATTTGAGGAGCTGGAGCATTGAGTATGGCCCTATGCTTCCGCGCAGAAACAAATGTGGGTAGCATGCTGCTAGTGGATCG